TCCAACAAAATGATCATCATGTATAACTGTATATTCACATAGTATCCAATATGTCCCATCCGAGTTCATACAAATTGGTACAAAAATACAATTATTATACATAAAAAACTAAAAATGAACATTCTTAATTTTTACCTAATTCTTTTAATATTTTTAATCCATTGTTTTTCATGATGACGATTAGGAAAATTAAACGATTTATGTTCAATACAGTTGGTATTGCTACAAGTAACAACACAACATATTATTATCTTTTGAATGCTTCTCTTTTTATTGTTACTCATCTTAAAGTTAAACGAGTAAAAATTAATGAGTAGAACTAGGATTTTAATGACCTAAAAATACACAAAAATACAAAAATTACCTAAAATCTATAAATAATGAAATTAACAAATGACCAAAAATGCACTTAGATGAGAGAAAAAAATATATTTTAAAATAATTATTATTATTAATAATAAATTGCTATTTATTCATTTTTTATGCTATATAAAATAGGTAAAAATTTATTTAAAGAAGTAAATTAAATAAATATGTTCAAATTTAAGTTGATTATTACTTATATTATTACTTTTTCAATATCACTGGACTGGAGTAGGTATAATCTAGGGATAATCTTTACAACATATATTAAAAAAAGCTCAAAACAAAAATAAATTTAAATACGCAAAATTTACATAATATTTGTAAAAAGGGCCTATATAATGCAATAAAAATGCATTTAACACAAAAAATGCAAAATAAAAATTACACATTCTAAATTGTTAAACAATATACCTAATATAACGAGATAAATTTAGTTTTTGATTAATCAAAATCAAAATCCTAGCTTTATTAATGAGTAACAATTGATCCGATAATAATTTTTATTTTGTTTAATATTTTTAGTTGTCACCTTTCATAGATTAATAATGAATATCACGGAATAATTTAACTTTAAATTATAGAATAGATAAAAGTTAATGAAAATAATATTATATACATTTTTTTAATATTATCATTAATTTTGGCGCCATTGTGTTGTTGATAGCTGAACATTAAAGTGAAAAAATACAAATGTATTAACGCCAATTTAAATTTATGCATTTCAAATTAAATTTATTTATCTTATAATACCATAATTATTAGTTTTTATTATTACATATTTAAAACGATATTTGTCATTATTAACATGTAGATTGGTAATTTAATACATTGTACAAGATAGTGCAATATTGAACAATAATGATACTACTAACAGTACTAACTAGTTTGATAGTTCTTCACTACGACATGCATTTTTTCAAAGTAGATATGATGTCTATAATATATTTTTAGATTGATTATTTTTATAATTTATTTGCATCCCAGAACTTCAGACATAATTTAGCTACTGATTTAACGATTTTTTGTTATTGTTATAAAATAGGAAATCGAATTAACTAGTATTTTATTGTATTACTAAAAATAAACAAAAATTTCACTTTTCATTACTGATTGCAAATATTAATTTATCATTGTGTATTTCTGTTGTTAAATTAATTTTTTTTAATAATAATTATAGTATTGCCATATTGGTAATATACTAATATCGATAAGATTTTTCATGTTATAATTAATATTGAGTTAAAAAAATAGATAGTTTTTGATGAAATGTTATCTAAATACTACAATTAAAAATAAAAAAACCCACGGAAGTCATAATCATTATCACTGTAACTGTCTTATGTTTTTAAGAATATTATATTATATATTTTTTATATTACTATTTATTATTTGTCTTTTACTATAGTTTCTAATGCAGTTTATTAAACATATTTTTAAAAAGTCAAATAACATTCTATTCACATAATTTTATAATAATATTAAATTTCATAGAATATTACTAAAACTGTCTTTAACTTATTAAGTTAAAGTCAATGTCGACGAACTGTAAAATAGTACGAATAAATTTAATGGTTCATTTATTTAAAAATGAATCAAACATGTTTTGAACATTAAGTCATTAAATCGAAAACAATTTTTTATAGTAAATCATTGTATAAGTAATAGCAAAAAGTTTTAAGTCTCTACGAATAATATTATTTCTTTTTAATTCATCGTTGATCTTTAAATTAATTAATTTGAAATTAAAAGAAAAAAACAAATCATATGTATTTTTCGTACCGCATAGATTTCAATATGATTATTTAGTATTTATTCAACATTTGAAAAATTTTTTATATTTTAATTATTTTAATTGAATAATTATTAAAGTTCGAAGAATGAATTCACTTAATGCCTAACTGTGGCCGGAATGTTAGAAACGGCAAACGTGCATGTATTTTTATAAATCAACTGTTGTCACATAAACAAAAATTTATTTTAATAACACCTAAATAAAAATTATTTTAAATTAATATAACACATCCATGTGAAAACTCAAACCCACAACACACATTATATTAAATGCGACACGCGATGTACATTATAGTATAATACAGTATACACATAGCATATTATCATAATATTATTATTATATAGATATTATAAATATTATTATATTTTGTGTTATAAAATATTATTATATCGCGTATATATAGCTGTAATCAACAGTTCAAATAATGTAAATAATCAACTTATGTTGTTGATCACTATAATATTACAAATTATTATTCTATTTGATATTTATTTTTTTTCCATTAGCTATTTATGAACTACTATTATACAATTATTATTATGTTTCTATTCACTTATTAAACGTCATGTTAAATTTCTTTCGTACCAGTTTAAAATTAATTATTTATTTTATGATTTAAAGCTTGTACACACGTATCGATTCGTCAAATGTAGGCACCGTAAATCATTTGAATATAAATTAAAATTGGATTTCCCGTCCCCAATTATTAAAGGTAAATAATACGTGAACAAATCTATAAATATAACTCAATAACTTGTGCTTTTTTTTCTCATCGGGGCACTCGATAGTTTACGTGTTTAGAATGCGATTCTATTTAATTCTGATTTCTTATGACTAAATATAAGTATAGCATGATATAAAACTCATTGGATGGAGTACACAATACGTATTTGGTGTTATTTTTAACGATATTCTTGTAATTAAAATTACTATAGTTCTGAAATGTTTATAAAAAGTTAATCTTTTTATATATTTTATTATATAATTTGTTTTCTTGGAGCTAAATAAACGTAAATAATCTCTTGTTACAGTTTAGTATATACACACGAATCGGTTAATCAGTGTTTTTATTTTGTTTTATTTTAATATTATTAAAATTGTTATGAACAAATAAAGAACGGCGTTTCTGCTTATGTAATCATAATACAATTTAATATAGGCAATGAAATTTAAAACTAAATTTTTTTCTTTCAAACTCATATTATATTAAGTAATTAGGCGACATGGCTTTGTAACATATAATTATATTCATTTTACCATTTTATTGGCTGATAGAATATTCGAAAAATTCGATCGTTACGCGTGCACTTCAGAGCAAAATTTATTTTTGACGCGAAACATTTGAATAAAAAAAAATTATCGTTTGGAGGTATTGCCATCCGTGAATAGTCGGCGGATCGTTATTATTCCACAGGAAAAAATAAACCGGTAAATACGACAATAATGATTAAACAATAATAAATTAACCTGAGAGTAATATTTTTTTTATTTTTCGAGAGTAAATACTAAATTGTATCAGCTATATTGGTGTATTTTTCTTTTATCATTTATACATTCAACTTAAAATTTTAGATTATCGAAGCTTTTAGAAGTACTTGGTTAAAACTAAATATTATACAACAATCTGTATTAAAGCTTGTATTTCATTTTCAGATAATAATATAAAGTAATGATTGAAGAAGTCAACAAAATCTCACTAAGTTTTAAACCATTTTTGCAATCAATATATACACAAATACCTTTTGTATAATTAATTGTTTAATTTATAAAATACAATTTAGTATTAAATCAAGGGTTCTGTTTTATTTTATTTTACTGAATATCTATGTAGGAAGTATTTTTTTTTTTTTTTTGATACTTCAAATTATTGAAATATTACTTAACAACAAAACATCTTTTAAAGATTGCCGGTGAATATCTCTAAGTACATTTAAAGTATAATGCTGTAAATGCAATTAAGTCAATATTTTAAATATTAATAATTGATGAATATGATAAAAATTACTACATGCTTGATATTAATCATTAATATATTCGTGAACGAGTCGGTCACGAAATGTTTGTGGTCATAATGTTTTCGATACTGATCTCGGTGTCGAGTAGGCATGAACTTATCAAACCTAACCTCAACGGCAGTGATCTCCTTTTAAAATGGTATTTAATATTTTAATGGATTATGCAAGTTACAACTCAGTCATTTCAACGGAAAATTGAGTTATTTATTATTACGGCCGCCCTAATAACACAATAATAACATTGATACCGACTACCTAATAACAGTAATAACAGTAATAACAAATAAAACAGCGGGACGTACGCTCGCCGCGCCGGTGTGCTGTGCTACAAGTCACAACTACAGCGCCCGTGGCGTCGGCGTCACTAGTGGGCGGGTGGGGCCAACTCGGTGTCCGAAAAATTGCCGAAAATTTAACGGGGACGCCGCCCTCGCGACCCCCTCGACGGCGTCGCCGAATTCACTGCGCACTATTGCCGCCCCGAAAAACACACACTCGCCGGTCACGTGACGCGCACGCCGCGATTCCACCCCGCCGCGGCGGAGGGGAGTGATTTCGTATCTCCGCACCAGTGGGCGCCACAGACGCCGCCGCCGCCGCACCACCGCTGCCCTTGACTGTGACCGTCACACGCACACACGCACGCCGTTTGGGCGGCACACAGGCGCACGTCGACGGGCGCGTACACGCACACGACGGCAAACCGGGCGGGCACAACCGTCGTGATCTGTGAGAGAGCGCGCGCGCGCGAGCCCGCGTACGTGTATCGTCACTGCCGCCGCCGCCGTTGTCGCGCGGGTGTTTCGCGTTCGGCTATCTCCGCGCAGTCGGTCAACGAAACAGAAAGTGGCCGTACGTCGTCCGTACCGCAAGCGCCGCGACGCACACAAAACACAAACACACACAACAAACTCAACACACGCACTCCTCGCACACCTGTGACGAAGTACAAATCGTTATTAATAATAATAATAATAATATTATTTTTTGTTTATCACGATTTTCGGTTTTTCATCATCGTGTTATATTTTGATCGTTTCGTCTCGAGAGACAAGTCCGCGGGTTTCGTAACGGAGAACGCGACCATCTCGTTTCCGTTTCTTCGTCTTCGTACGGCGTACGTTTGTCGACGTAATAATTTGAAAAAAAAAAAAAAACGGTAAAATTTATTATTGCTATCATTCGACGCCGCAAGTGCCGGTTTGTCGGAGTGTGTTTACCACCTAACGCCGATTAGAGATAAATATAAAGACCATAAGTCGAGATAAAAAACAACACATAGTAGTCATACGCCACATTTTACGGACGAGACACCGACGTCCGCCGTCTTGCGCCGCTCGCGGCATGCGATCGTCGTCGTCTTCGTCGACAAGCGCCGCTCGTCGTTGAATGGCTCCTCGCCGGAACGCAATGGGTTTCAACGGTATCGGACATTTCGCCGACTTGTTCGGCCCGTCCACCACGACGGCCATGGAACAGTTGTTCCACCAGCAGCAACAGCAGCAACCCTTTCAACTCGTACAGCAACAGCACTACGAAGAGTGTTGCGTGCCCACCGGCGATTGCTTCATGCGGTCCTCGCCCATCAGGCTGGAAGATCCGCGCGCCGCCGAACTTTACGCCCGTGTGGTGTGCAGCGACGGCGGATGTCCGGCAGGCCGGTACATGCACCGTGAGTGTTTCGACGCCTGGGAACGGCTGGTGTTGGTCTACATGAAGAACGCTGCCGCCACGTACACCAACGGTAACGTGACGCCTCAGTCCAACGGCCGGCGCATCAAGGACCTGTGGACGGTCAACGTCAACAACAACAACGTGGTGAACCTCAACAAGAAAGGCTACGAAATGGCGGTCAAGGCTTGCGGCTGCCGCTGCGGCCGCGGTTACTTGAAGAAGGACTCCGAGTGGCCACAGCAGTCGTCGTCGTCCGTTGCCGCCGCCGTCCGCAGACGCTCGTCCGGTGGCAGCGGTTGCGCCGCGGACGATGCCGTGGACGGTGGCAGGACGTCGGCCGCACCACCGGCCGTCGGAAAGAAGAAGAAGCGTCGGCAGCCCGCCGCCAGACAACCGGCATCCGCTGCTTCCGCGATGATGATGGCCGACTACACCGAGCTGCGGCTTCGCGCCGGCAGCCTGTCCGGTTCGTCCAACGGTTCCAGTTCTCCCATCACTAATTCCGCTAGCAGCGTGTCTCCCGCCCACTCGGGATCGTTTGGTTCCAGCACCGGCGCCGGTTCCGGTTCCGGGTCATCGTCTTCCAAGAAGCGCGGGGCCTGTTTGAAAGACGTTTTCGAGAGGTAAATAGAACAATAATTAAATTATACTCTCGAGGCCTAGTTCGTAGCAACCATGATGTCGTGCTGTGTCGCAAAGTCGAGCTCGACTTACTCTAGAAATTACCCGGTAGATCGTAGCTGTATAGTTAGCTGTGGATAGTCGGTAAATTAGTGCTGTAATTGAGGGAAGGTCGAGGTTTATCTAAAAAAATAAATATATATATATGTTTATGTAATAACCTGTATTAATACTCCTTTTAGTTTTATATTCTAATCTAATTAGACACTTAAATGGTTCGTGTATGCACATTTTTTTATACTCGAGCACATCCCTCACTTAGAAATATCGTGATTACCACGGCTGATTAGAATACGATAAAAGCCACAGTACGCAGAGCTGCCGAGAAAACCCGGCTTTATAGTTTTTAGGTATTATTAATTCATTGTTACCTATTATTTTTGTTGTTTAATTATTATTATCGTCTCGTTGCGTCGTCTGAAGGTATCGAGATTAAGTTGGTATGCGGCTCGCGTGTGTAAACACCGCCGCCACCGCGTACAAGTCTCGGCGTCGCGTCCGTAAACACACGAATTTAATATTGTTGCCCTAGTCATACTGTCGGCGGCATGCGTGAGTAACCGACGCCGCCACAGACGCCTTCCCTTTTCCCAGCGTGTCTGTCGTATATTTTGGGGGTATGAAGAGGGCGAAAAACGTGGCCTTTTTTTCCTCTCCGTTTGGGGATTGGGATTTCGACCCTCTTTCGAAAGTTACCGTCTGATACCCCGTCGCCCCGTCTCGGCGCGTCACCACACCCAGTGTTGTTGTCGCGCCCCAGAGACCGTCTGGAGAAAATTAATCGGTGGCCTTTTTCTGTGCGAGTGAAGGATCGAAATTTATACGTAGAGAAAGTCTAGTAAACGTTTCATTTTTCTTTAGGAAAATCAAGCCCGTAACTTGTGGTTTTGATAGCAACCGCGCTGAATCGATCAAAAGTCCATAAAAACTGTAAAGCACGCCGACGTAATGGCATTTTAAGGATTTTGTCTATATACGTATATAGGTATATATCTATCCACAGCTCACTGACTTGACACCTACACTTCAAAAGTTGCTTAAAAACTTTATAAAAAAATAAACACAATACATAATATTATGTATATAGCCATAATATGTTTGTAACCTGGCGAGTTAAATGTTTTTTATAAATCAAAATATAATACCTATTTGATACGATTGAGTACACCTTTATATTTTATAAGTAACTTAAGTATAATTTTAATCTTCAATGCTATTATATTATAATATTAATAGAATGTAATACTATTATAATACGTAAGAATGCTAAGCATTATAATACAAAAATCTATCATACTTTCTATGTTTTATACTTAACTTACCAAATATTTCATCTGGCATATTATTATTATTTATTATTTTCTATATTATGTTGAAATGTCAATAAGGCCACCCATTTAATTTATTATTACACCCGCGTGAAATCTTTCGGTTAGTTGGTTGTTAACTATTATTATAATTTTAGTACATACCTGCTTATAACAATATTTTATGTAATATTATATTTGTATACATTTAGAATAGGTATGTTTCTAAGTTTATTTTAACATAGCAGACATTGAGCATTTGAGCATTAATTATAATTGATATTTGACACTCGTCACCAACATTTGAACGCCAGATTCTACGAATGTGTATAATATTTCTGATTTCCAGCACTTTAAATATATACATCTATAAACGAATAGTTTTTGTAATATAAAATATTAATTTAAAGAAAAAAAATAGTCGAAGAGAATCCATATTTCATATTTCACGCCATCTCTCTCATCCGTAATACGTCATTGCGCCCACAAACCGAAATCGGGAGAGTGTTAAAGATATTAGTAGTTTCGGAAATATTATAGCATTAAGACATTCCAAAGGGATCGTTAGAAAGGTTTTCTGCGTTGGCGGGAAAATAATATAATTTCGGTAGACCACGTGGGTCTCTTATGCGCGAGCGCGTTTGTGTTGATGAAAAATTCGTCGAAGGACGTCTACTACGACTGCGGTTGGTGCGCATCGGGTGTTGTTGTTTGTACGGGATAATAAAATATATCTTATTAAATGTTTCTTTGTGTTACGTTTTTAAGATTTATTAGACTTGGCTCTAATTTTTTTAGGTGATACTACACAACATGTTTTTAGCGCTTGTAATATAGTCCCCGGTCACCAAATAGCGGTCTGTCTATGGATAAACTTGTTTTGTACCGTAGACAGGAAACTGATATTTTAAGTAATGTTTTTGTTAATGAGGTTTTCATTAATTTTCAGTTATATTTTAATTTTGTCTTTTCTTACAATAAATATGTACATTGTTTTCGAAAATTTTCAGAATTGTTAAAGAAGCCCTCCATAAATATTAATCTTTTATATATGTAGACTTAGATTTCGACTAAGGTTCATTATATTTATTAAACTGTGAGTTCGCGACCGAAGTAAACGAGATACTAGCTTCGAAACTGCGCTAGATGAATTCCTGGAAACGATTATTTATTTTTAACGTAGCCGCCGTCGTAGTATTTAAAAAATATTCTTTCAGATTTTTAGTTTTTACCATGGGCTTTGGTTTTATTTTAACAACAAAATATGCGTCTCTTTTTATTATCTCGAAAAAATCTCACAATTTAAGTTATTTAAATACTTACGTTGTTATTAGATTACGATTGTTCTCTGTGTTTACGACCGATCTCCACACATCTTGGGTTTTTTTTTTTTTTTGCTTGCGTTGAATTTTTAGAAGTGTAAAAACGACGGATAAATAAAATGTTTACAAATATTCATTTATAATAATAATGTCAATATAATATTATCGCATTTCTGTAAACACTAGTGGTGGTGGTGTTCAACAACAACGGTTATTATTCCATACGATAACGGATTTTCATAGTATAATTCTGTAAACAACATTTATCAATAGATTATTATTTTTCAGTAATTTGTCTGAATCTTGCCAGATGATAATTATTATCATTTCAATTTTAGTCTTGAATTAATTGATTTTAATTATTTTGGTATTTTTGTGTGGCGTTGGCTAGGTGGTTTTCCCTGAGTTTTGACGTACTTAAATTCGATTTACTTGTAACGTGAGTCTAGTATTAGCGATGATTAGACATACATTTTTAAACCATCAAAATTACTAGTTTTTGACGTTTGTATTGTCAACTATTTATAGTCGCACAAAATTCGTTTACCCCAAAATTTTCATCACATTACAATAACAATTTGCGTCTTCTTAGTTTTGTTACATTTACAAATAATGAATACGATAATATGAATAAACATATTTAACATTTTCAAATATAAGCCATCATCATGATAATTTTATAGATAGATAAAAACGCAAATTGCTAATTATTATAAATGTAAACCATTTCATTAGTTGGGATAAATTTATATTTAACACGTTAAAATATTATAACACCATGTAGTTAAATTATTATTTTAAAACTATAATAATAAATTCATATTTATTGTTCAAATTCTATGTGATGAATCTACGATAGTGTGATGCAAAATAATTTCGTTTAGGTGAACATTTATTTTTAGTGCTTCCTTTTATTTGGTGCCTAGTGGCGTTAAAGTTTGGTTTGTAAGTAGAGTTTCGATTTTTTTTTTTCGTTTTGTAGTCTCCAGTGGCGAGAAATTCGTGTAGTATGATGGTGTGGACAGGATCGCATTGTCATTAAAACTAAAACTGGGAGGAAATAATAAAAAAAAACAAAACCCTTTTAAAATATTTAATTAAGCGTGTTCGTAAACACTTGCGGAACGTCGTGTTGACATCGTATTCGGAAACGGCGACTGTATGTAGTACGCGTATATAATATTAATATCGGTATGTCGCACACCCAATGTATTTTTTACTTTATTTTTGGTTCAAAAAATGAGGGTCAAAAAATCTACATCCTAATGGTGAGGAGAGGGTCGGTCGCTTGGTCGGCGTGTTCGCATTCCCGTCGTATGCACATAAATATGTATGTATATATATATTTTTTAAAACTACGGGTCCGTTATTCGCTTGGAATACAAACCCTTTTGGCGTAAGCGGAGGGTGTACTTGCATGTCGACGAGTTGTCGTCATTGCCCCCACTCCTCTGTTGTAGATCATGGTCGAGTTTCATGATAAAGTCCGTGGGGTATTTTGCGTAAAATATTGCGATCTAATTAAAACCCAAATTTTTTCACCCTCAGTGAAGTTTGCGGGTGATTATTGGGGGAGGTAGATGTCGACGATGACGCACAACGTGCTTTAAAAATGCCAAACGTTTTATATCGTTTACGTTTTTCAACTATTTCGTAGATTCTTATATATTACAACAACGTTTTACAAAATATAAATATGGATATTTATCATCATATTATTTTTCATTTCTCGACAACGAATAGTAAATAATTATGTAATACCAGTGTGTGGTGCATATGTGTGTGTTTATTATTGTTATTAGTTTATTACTTATTATTATTATGGGGGCCTGCCCTCCATGACTTGGTATGAGTGTGTGCTCTCCCCCGTGCTCGAGTAACAGAATGTTTCATAATTTTTAAATATCAACAACACTGTTGTTAGGTATGTATTCCATTTTGGTCTCGTTTACAACAGCAGCGGTTGTGTTTTTTTTAAACTCATCAATTTTGACAACGGTCGTGGTGTTGTAATTTTCAGTTTTTACTTAAAACTATTACCAAGTGGTGTGTATGTTTTTGTATTACTTTAGGTTTAATAACTGTTTTTGTATTATTAAAAAGTAACGGTAGTTTTTTGTTTTGATAAATGACCACTGAAATTAATACATAATAATATATATTATATTACCCAACGTTTGTTTGTACACATTTTTTAAATAAAAAATCCGTACGCTCCTCCAACGATAACCTTGAAATATTCGTTACGCTACTGTGCACTGCGCTTTGCCCGCGTTCTGACACCCAAGTGTTATAGTATAGTACACTATATTG